GAATTTATCATTCCTACAATTTGTTTACCTATGTTGAATGTTGAATCAGCCATCCCAATGAGTAGGTGTGTGCATGTACGTACATGCGTTCGTCGTTTTTGTATATATATATATATAGAAACTAAAACCAACTCAACGATCTCCAATGAGGGAGGGAGAGAGAAGTATCCGCACCACGTAATCGTTTTGCGATTTCTTTCAACATTTCATTCAATTTTTTCTGGGCGACAAGCAATTGACGTCAAAAACAAAAGTAGAGAAGAAAACAAACCGATTCGCATAAAAATACAAGCAATAGAAAAAATAATAACCAACTCAATGATACGCACTTAGGGGTGTTCAATCTGGACCTATCTCGATTGGTCCGGTATTGTCCCGATCATATTGGGACGGGTCTTGTCCTGGCCCGAAAATAATCGGGAGGGGATGAGACACAGGATTACCTAACGCACTAATGAACAAAGCAAATGATAAGCACCACTAGATCCCACACATTATGCCCATACCTTATTGCCCATTACATAGTTTAATGAACTAATCTAATCTGCACATCATGAAGAAGGCTAGCCACACCTGTGACAATACAAAAATATTGGTTTGTTAACGGAATGGTGAAGCTCTTTTTTCCTGGGAAGGCAGCCATCAAAAGAAGCCGCCAAAAATGATCATTTTCAATGTCTTGTCATGTAACTTTGCCTAGGAAAAGGATACGATTAACCTCAGTACCTCACAGTGGCATCATATATGAATGAATCATACAAGGGACAATGCAAAACTAGATTAGAACTGCAAAGTTGAAACTGTCTCCCTTTCAAGTACATAACCTGAATAGTTCTATCCATGAAATATTTATCCATATGCACTGGCCTGCTAATTGCTATCACATTATCTTTTAATATTCTTTCTCACAAGACCAAATTAAAACATGAATAACTTTCTGATGGAAGCGCTTAAGTGAGAATGGTGAAGCCACCCTTAGAAACCTGCTTGTAAGGAGAAAGAAACAAGCCAAGGCCACAAGAATTATTGTTCTACCCCAATACAGAAAATCCACCCTCACTTGCATACTTGAAAATTCGGGCATCCTCTCCAATCAAAATAATTAAAATAACAACATACATTGCTTACAGGTAAGAGCCTTCACTTTACTTTAAAGTCCTTGAACAGTTTCAACATTTCCAAAAATACCAATGACTCTGACCTTAATAATGTAGCTGCTAGACATTGAAATAATATGGCTGCTTTTTGACTTAAAAATCGATGCACAAATGTTGGGTTAGAGCTGAGACTACAGAGAACAGTTTATGGACATTTAATTTAATGATGCAGATTGAAATACCCAGTAACATATTACTCATTTTCTTTTAATTGAATGTAAAGAAATACAAAGGCATTGAAGTAGTAGAATATTAGGGAAAATTTTCTACTTTTGGCATATCTAGGTGGTCAGTAAATATGAGACCATATTTTGTTCCACAGCCATAGGTTAAACATAAAAATGAATAGTATATGTCATCAATCTAAAGATCCAGCAACAGAATCAGCATTTAAAAGTAGCGATTCAAACAAGAATAAAGAAGAGGAGAAAATTGTACTATGTAAATCCCCTTCGAGAAAGCAAACATCCACTTTCTCTATTCCGAGAACCTAAGAACCACAAGTTGTCTCATTTACTAGAGCAGAATGAAGCCTGAATATAGCCTAATTAAATCCGTAAACATTAACCCAGATTGGAGGCGCGCGTATTGAAAACCAACCAAAAGGAGAGGAAAAAATTGCAGAGCTATGAGCTCGAGCTCCATCCCTCTGATATATAAACAGCTCCAAAATAGGAATATTCAATGCTAATTAACAATCTGGGATCAACAACCATAAGAAGCGAAAAAGAGAAGAATATGAGGCTTACTGAAAAACTGGCGCGGCTTCATCTTGAAAACGATAACTCGTAGGATCAGAAGGGGTTGCTCATCCCTGCCGAGACTGGGAATCAATGAAGAAGCATAAACATTTCTCTCTGACTTTCTCTTCTTCTCGTCTTCTTCTTCCTTCTCTTTGATTTATTTTGTTCCCAAGGAACACTTTTTAATTTCCACTGTGTATTTTGTCTGGAGACGCCAATGGCATCCTGTTTTAAAGAAACTGAACGGCTATTAGTTTTTAGTGACCGTTGGACAAGAGAGATGGGCAAGACGCGCGCTCTTTATCCGTTTGCTTTTCTTTGAACCAATTAGCCGTTTGCGTTGGAAACGGTAATATTCAGAGGCAGATCTGGGCTTTCGTACACTGATGATAATCTAATTGTGTAGGGCCATAGTTTTTTGGGCTCAGCATGGACCTTTTAATTGAAGAAGGTATTGTACGAATGACAAATTAAAGGATGTAACACTCAAAGCCGCATTTATTCTTTTATATTTTACAAAGTGATAAATTAAGGTTTAAATCTTTGTTTGGAAAAGAACTCACGTTTAGTATTGATGGTGTCTCAAATATAATTATTTTAAATAAAAAGATAATTGTAAGTAATGAAAAAAATAATTCAGAGAAATTCTAATTTCATCTAATAACCTTAGTCTTTTTGAAAGTTCAAGTACAAATGACATATATTAAAATAGGGGAAAAAAGGAGTTTTTGAGTTCAACCTAAAAAAAGAAAGAAAGAAAGAAATTGAGAAGCGATTGCCAATATTTTGAGGAATATGTGTGTGTGTGTGTCAGTGTGTACTTTTTGCAATTTTTTTTAATCAAGATTCAATTAAAACATCACAACAGTATATCATCTAACAATTTCGAATAAGGGAGTATTTTTTTAATGATTGTATTTTATTCAAATAAATAAAAAATAGTAATGATATTATTATAATTTAAAAATAATTCACTTGTCAGACTTTAACTAAATATATAATAACAAACATAAATAAGTTACACATCTAATTGGTAAATCATGTTCCATCCACTTGCATGTTGATTGAGCACACATGACCAAGCAAATGTTAGTCAACGAAATCAGAATTGACAAGTATTATTAATTGATTAAGACCCTCAAAATATTAGCAAATACTAATCACAAGCGTGGTGTTGGACCACTTGTGTCGGAATTTCACGACAGGGTAATTTATGTATCTCGTTTAATTTATATTAAAAAAGTAATAAAACTGTTGAACTGTTTATGATAATTAATTTAATTTTATCATAATTTGATCTGATAATCCATCCTTCCTTATATAAAAAGCTAAATAAATATTTAGGCTATATTTCCCTCCAAACTTAAAAATAATGGGATGCAGATATGCTTCACATGATATCCTTTAAACTCCATATTGCAAGGGACGGAATTGATCACTTTGATATATCAACATTAATTAATGTAATCACATAATTAATTCGGGAATAATATCAACTTGAAGTTAATTATATAAGCATGCACGACGGCAACATGGGAATTGGGAAAGAATGAATAAAGCAGTGAGACGTTCATGAGAAAGAAGATTAAACTATCGTTGTTTTATGAGTACACTTGCAATGATTACTCATTTGAGTCCGAGCATTGAGATTAAAAAAAATTTGGTTGAATTTTGAAGGTTGAGATATGTCTTACCTGCAATTCAGAAGATTGGAGCTAACAGTTTTAAATTGCATTGTTAGGATTTAATGATATTAATTAATGATGCATACAAAATGAATAGAGGGAGTCTATTTCGGGCCAACATGATAGGGTTTGGGCTTGGCTCAACACTTGAATAATATATATTTTTTTAAAAAATATAATATATTGAATATTAATTAATGCTTTAAGGTCTTACTTCATTTTAGATAAAATTAATTATTTAATCAGTATAATTTTAATTCAATTATAATTCAGTCTCTAAAATTTAATTTATTTTTACTTGATTTTATAGATTGAAACTATTTTAGAATTTTAATCTTTATAAAGATTAAAAGGGTTTAAGAATTTTAAATGTTAGTCCTAAATTTTAATGTAATTTTAATCTTTATAATTTTTTTTTAAAACATAGAGACTAATAATAAATAGGTGGTTAAATTTTTAGAGACTGAATTACAACCGAATTAAAACTATAAGGGTCGATTACAATGAATCAAATTCTTGTACTAAGTTACAATTGAATCAAAACTTTAAGAACTAAATGAATAATTTTCCTGCATGTTATAGTAAGAGATCACATGTTGAATACATTATAGATATTTCTTAGAAATTAAAAATTTATATTTTTATATTTTATAATTTTTAATTTATAAATAGTTTAAATAATATTTAAAAATATAATCTTGATTTTAAATTTTAAGACCCACAATTTTTTATAAAAAAAGTTGAATCTTCTACGTTTTTAAGTATATCAAAAATTATATTTTATAATTTTATAATAATGAAAATAATTAATCATAAAATAAAATTTAAATTTGTTAAAAAATTGACATTCAAGTATTCTAGTAGTTGAAATAAGCTTGAAATTCAAGAATATTCAACCCTGGATTGTTTATATAAGTTTTTTTTCTTTATATGTTGTAACTATATTTGACTCCGAAGAATGCCAGTTCAAATTGAACTTGATCTCATCAAATTACCAGCTCAACAAGGGAGGGTAGAAACAGGATCCGATCAATGGGGATTGGCGAAGCAAAAAAAGCAACAGCAAATTCTTGATTCCGGGTTCAAAGTAACAGTGAGGTGGTGTTCATACTAATACCAGTCCAAGCACTAAAGTTAAAGAGAATGACGTGGCAATTGCAATTGGGTGAGTGAAAGAAATTTCATCCCTTTACCAAAAACAAAATAATAATATAATTACCCCACTGTCACAATTCATAACTCTTTCGGTTTTAAGTACAGGGTATTTTTTTACGACTCATCAAAATTAAAGAGAAATAATAATCATGAAAATGATTAAAAATAAAATAACTTTTTTGATTTATTCCTTTTTAAACATGGATGTAAAAAGTAAGTTCTAGCTATGGTGAACAAATATTTAAAAAAAAAACAAAGAAAGAAAGCTAAGTGATGTTTTTGCTTTTTATTCAAGAATGACTAATATATAACCCATCAATTTGTTTCAAAGAGACATTAACATATAGGATCGGATAAGAGTATTGCTACCACACAATATTTTAAGAGGCAATGTAAAAATCTTTTAGTTTTTCAAACTGACTAACTCTTAAAAAAGTACTTTCTCTATTTAAATATAAAAAATTTTTAAAATTGAATTCTCATCATCAATAAAGTAATTACTATATTTAATTAATTTTATCTTTTTATATTTGCCCTTATTTAATAGGATATTTTACCCTAAAAAAATAAAATGATCTATTCAATAGGAACACTTTAAAAAAAAATAAAATTACACCTTAAAAAATTAAAAATATTTTATATTTTTTAAACATTTAACTCCTTAAAAGAATGAGTATTGTTTTATGATGCCTACTTGTCTGATTTTATCAATCGTGTTTTGAAGAGGAATCATATTGAATATATATATATATATATATATAGATATATGTATGTATGTATGTATAGTCTTCAAATCCTCCATGGTCTCACCCTGTAAATATTGAACAGGAGTTAGCCCAATCTTTGGCATGAAAACCGTTGATCCATCTTAATTTCCTAAAGAAAATGTTGTGTTTGGATTGTTTACCACAACTTATTCTTTCTCATTGTCTGCCCCAAGTCTCTTCTGTCCCCGTAACTTCATATACAATTATATTTTTATATAACACCATTAACAAACTTGGACTCACGATTCTGATGGATGGTGGAGGATTTGGATCATCCCATGAAGTTCATAGTTTTAATGATCAAATTCTTTCTATTATAAAATAATGGCAAATATTATAAACAATGAAGGTTTATTCATATTATTTTGTTTGAATATATATTATCTATATGTGTATATGTATAAAACATTTGGTAAAGCAGCATGGGCTCTTTCAGCTTTTACTAGCTCTCTCAGCATCTTTATGCGAGATGTAATTGCTTTATTAATTTCAAACCTTTTTTAAGAGTATAGCAATATAATTGAAAAAAAGAAGATGGATCTTTCAATAAGGAATAAGAATTAAAGCAGCAGCTTTTGCTCCACATAGAGTCGTCGCAAGTTAAGCTTTTTCTTCAACTTTTTATCTAGGCAATGCCTGCTGGCTCTTATTCAATGTTGGATCGAGCTAATCAATATTTTAAAAGGCTAATGGCCTACTTTTCCCACCTATAGGTGTGCTTTGTTTTTAATTTCTGCTCACAAAAGCTGCCTGCCACCAATTAATCAAAAAAAGGAAAAGAACATGATGCTAATAAAGATCACACAATACTTTAATGTCATCCAGTATACTTGCACTTGCATCTTAAATTTAAATTGGATTTTTCCCTGCTTCCCAAATTAAAACAGGTTAAACATTCGGACTTGAACTTAATAGTTCAGATTATCATTATTTTTTGAAATAAATGTCACTGATCTATTTAATTTTGAGGAAAAAAATTTAAAAATCTCCTTTGTAATTTTAAAAGCACATCTTTCTACAAAAAGGCACTTAAAATTACATAAACTTTTTTTATGTTTTGCTAAAATTCCCTCAATTTTATTTTTAAAACTCGTACAAACCTATTCTAAAAGCAAAGAGAACCTTATACAAACATCTTATCTATTTTAAAGCCTACATACCTACATATCATGAAGATAAATGAAAATGGTGCAATTTCGACAGCAAGCCTCGCGAGAATTCACGTAACTTGTTTGCTTTTTCTAAAGAAGTCTATGCCGATTTTAAAAATATCGAAGGTGCCTATAATTTTAAATAAAATTCAATAGAATATATTAATTTTAGAATAAATGACAAACTTATGACTTCAACAAAACCTTAAAAATTATTTAAAATTATTCTTATTGTTATTAATCATTTGGATGCCTTAGGATATATTATCTTTAGGCTGAAATTTCTCCTCTTCTTCTTCTTCTTCTTCTTACTTACACCAATTTATTGAAAATGCTATCAGATATTAAATGTAAGCACTTCTCAAGTAATAACTCAAATTATTATTTACCACGTTGTG